GTTCTCCGGCTTCTATTTCTGGACTTTTAGGCACAGATTGGGCGGAAAGGTTTACAAGCTACGCCCGGTTTCGCCACAAACGCTGCGGCGGAGACGGATCACTTCTTCAGTTCAACGATCCAAACGGAGGACCGAATGAGGAGCGTCTAATTGCGATTTTATTTTCGCGGAGATCCTCTAACACATCATATCTTTCAGCAATTTCCAGGATGAAAAGTGGAAATATTTTTAGTTCGTCTTCCATCCATGTTCTTTCGTCCCTTCCTCTCCTCCCTCTCTCTCTTTGCTTTTTTCGTCCCGCTTGTTTCAAACGTCACGTAAATGGGATCGCCATAGCCAGGTATTTCCACCGACGCGTCTTATTCACCGGCCGGGCAAAAAGGATTGTTTTCGTCGCTTTATTTCAATCCTCTTATCAAAGCGACTGCGCGCTTCCAATTTTCCCGGCGCTTTCATGCACTTTGAACGATGCGCTTAATTCACCGAATAAACGCCTCCGCGTTTTTCCTTCCGCGCGGTCGCGCGCGCGCGCGCGCGCGCGTAATTTGCTCGAAAAACGGGCCTACGAGTTGCCCGCGTCGAGACCGAAAAAAGCGCTGGTGACTCGTGAAACGTGTTCGAATTCAAAGAGCTCGTAATTAGTCGACGTGAGCATGTTGTAACAATCGTCGTCACTCAACCCTCGCCCGACGCGCGCTCTGCGGATCTGCGTGGCCGAGCTCGAATTTCTTTCTGCTCGACATGTCCGGCGACGAGACTCGCGGGAAACAAACGATAATAGACGAGTATAATGAGCGAGCAGAGAAGAGGCGGGTGGGGGGGGGGGGAGGGGGAAACAAGCCTTGTGTGATGTAATGATTATCTGTCAGTGTTCCTCATGTGAGGTAGCGACGTTCGAAGTACTCGAGTGCTTGTCTTCTTACGAGCAATATATCCCATCGCAGCATATCAGCGAGCTGATAGTGTGGATGTAGTCAAGTGATTGTACAATATAGGTGTAAATGCGCGTAATTAATATCACACCTCCGACGAGTTAGGAATGAAGACGAAGGAGGATATTCCCGAGAGACTGATTTAGTCCGTCAGACGTCCTCACGCGAATGCGTAGAGTGACATTTTAGACAGAATCGCGCAGCAGCGCGTCGCCTCGACGCTATCGAAAGATATCATAACACTTTCCCATCCATTTTCTACTATGAAATATTATGTTGCCTACGGACGATCATTTTTCATAATGCATTCGCTACGTGATGAAATAATACAGGAGTTGAGTGCGCTGATATTGATGCAAACTTTAATGCACGTAGGCAACAAGCAATGGATCTGATAATCCTCTTGCGTAACATTTGTTCCCCCAGGTAAACCAAGGTAACGTAGAAATTCGCGAACATTGTCGGGAAAATGTGGGAAAACACTCATTGAACCGTGAGAAGTGATAATAACATTATTTACTAGAGTATAAAAATATTAAAGTTTCAAATGAACTTGTCACCGCTCAATCGTTCGATCGAGATACAAAAAGCCGCGCCGGATTTGTCATTTCACGTCGGCGATTGAAGTTTCCACGTTATTTCTCTCTCTCTCTCTCTCTTTCTCGGCATTAAAAAGTGTGTCTCATTAGTTGAGAATTATATCGGTCGGAAGAGTGACCCGACCAGCCGGCTAGATGACAAAGAGAGAACGAGAAGTTTACACGACATAGTAGAAATGACTGCGGAGCTTCTAATTGTGACTAATGTGTTCTTAATTGCCTGTTTTACATTTTACGCGCGCCAACGTGCGACTTCTTTCCTCGGCCAACGGAAATTAATTTGTGATTAACATACAAACTTGCGCGTGCAACGCTCGCGCACTTCATAACGACGGTACAAGCAGAAATACTCGCGCGCGCGCGATCATTAGAGCGACGTATGATATTCACGTGTCGTTGAACACGAGTGATTATACACGGGACGTTGTATCCGACCTATATTTCTTAACAACGTTTCTCTGATCTAAGGGAGAGCAGATGGCGTGTTGATATCTGAGAAAAAATTTATGGATTACTCACTGCAAGTCGGAAAAACTTCTACGACCCATTCCTCCATTTCCATCTCCTGAGACTTCACAGTCTTAGAAAAGGGGTAGAGTCTCAGGTAAAGTACCTCAAGGAGCATCCGCACGAGTCCACTTTCTCAAAACTCGAATTTTCATCGAGAACCGAGACCTCATGACAACGCGCAACTCCCTACCTCCAAAATAAAGGGTGGTTTGCTCTTGAGAGGGGGTTGAAAACCGAGATCCGGATCGAGAAACAACTATGCCCAGAAAAATCTTCAACTCGATATTCGAACATTACTCGTCGAGATGAGTCGACAAGGTCCTATGGACCAAACCCCTATCTCTCACTCTGAGGATAGTTTACTCTTGAAAGGGGGTTGAAGAAAAAAGTTTGGAACGAAGGGACGGCTATGAACGCAAAAATTCTTCATCGCACGTGCTGCAAAACCGATCGGAGAAACCACCCTTCGAGGGGGTAAATTTTGGAGAAATTTTCAAAACATCTACAACTCGATATTCGAGCACCGCTCGTCGAGACGAGTCGAAAAAGTCCTGTGGTCCCCGATCCCCTATCTCGCATCTTGAGGATAATTTGCTCTCGGAAAGAGATTGAAAAAAGGAAGTTTGGAACAAAGGAACGGCTAAGGGCGCAAAAACTCTCCATCACGGTTTCCTCTCTCAAACGTGCTACAAAATCGAGCGGATAAAAACCTTTTGAAAGGGTAAATTAGGAAAATTTTGAAAAAATCCCAGACTATATTTGAGCGTTACTTGCGGAGCTAAATTAAAAAAGTCCTGTGGACCTTGTTCCTGAAAATCTCGTGAAAAACGGCTTGATTGTGCCTACGGCACTCGCATTTCAGAAATAAAATACGTAGCAATTAATCAATTGGAGCATGTCATGGTTGTAATAGTGCATTCGTAGAAAATGATCTTAGAAGAGAGGACTCACACACGCGCAGAAAAGTTTTATCAAGATGCATATTAATATCCTCCCCATGAACGCTACCGGACGAAAGTCAGAGCTACGTTATTCATTTCCTCGGCAGTGGAAGGTGGAAGTGGTCATCTGTCTCCTGGATAGAATGATGATGCGTAATAATGAAGGCCTTCGTTAAGATGTCATAACCGGTGCTTCTAAAAATCGCGTTGCCGCGGGCGCACTCATTCCCGGACGTTCGCGCGGCTTTCTTCGACGCGACACGCTGCCGCGGCTCCCAATTCTGCGAGTTTGCCTATCATCCGGTTGCATCTCTTAAACTTATTTAAGTTCCGCCATATTTTATCCTAGGGCGGGCGATACCTCGAAGAATACCACGAGAGCCACTCGCGGTGAAATCTCACTGGCAATAGTTACCGCTATCGCGCGGCCATCCACACCGAAAACCCACGTAATCTTCGAAAGTGTCCGGGTGCGCGCGCGCTCGATTCCGGGAACGATGCAGGGAGCGATAAGAGAAACGACGCGAAATAAAAGAGAAATTTTGTGTTTCGTCAAATCCCGCCGTTAGAATCGATCCCTCGAATAATCCAGCTCGAACGCAATTTCGTATACGACACGAATCCGATTTAATATCGGACGCCACCCTCGTCGCCCGCAAGTGCGAAATGTATAATCGGATATCGCACGCCTATAGTCCCGCTACGCTATCAATTAATACATTCTTCTCCCGGCAGTTCTTTTTCACATATAGATTAAGATTACTCTCGCGACGTTCAATCTCGCGAGCGATTTTAATAAAATTCTAATTTATCCGAGATTATATGTACACAGAGGAGGAATCCCTCTCGCCGCGCCGCGCTCGCCGAGGATATTTGAATAATGAATGTTCTCTCACGAACTTGTCGATATTCCACGTCGAACATTAACGTATCGCCGAATTAGGTTTCAAAGCCAAAAATAGACAAAATATAATGGATTTTCCCTCTAAAGGGATATTCATTTGGCAAATCACGTAATGGCCGGGATTTTGCTGAAACTTTACTCGCGATGAATAATGATCCCCCCTATCGGGCGCTTGCGCGCCCGAGGACCTAACGGAAAACTTTGCTATTGTCATTTCATCGATAAACCGATACATACCGCGCGCGCGCGCGCGCGCGCACACGTGCGCGCCCGAGCACGTTGCGCCTTCAAATTTCGCTGGCAGCGCTATGCTTTCCATCATCTTCGCGCAACGCCTGGGCTGCGCGCGACCTCTCGTCGAATATCGAATAAATTTCGACAAACAAATGATGAAGCGCACAAAAGGCGTATTCCGCTTACAGGAGCCGCGGCGGATGGAGGACCGCTCGAGTATACGATACTGTTTACCGCGAGTTCCGAGCGCGCGCGCGCGCGTCGGCCACGGTGTACACGCCACCCAATCGTACTTCCGCTTTATACCGAGTGCTATTTTGGATGATTTATTGACGAGGCGCTTTCGTCGCTGCTAGCTCGATATCGACGACCTCCCTGTTTTTTTTTCTTTTTTTTTTTTGGTGTGTGTCCTCCCTACCGGGCGCTTGGAGAGCGAGGCTCTCGATCACCGGCAGCGTTTATCCTCGCTGCCCAGCCTTCGCTACACTCGCCTCTGCTCTTCGCTCCACCCCCGTCGTTTCACTCTCTTTCTCTTTATCCCTCTGCCGCTTGGCAGGATCGTCTCTGTGCCATCACCCCGAGTGACAAGCCGTTGTCACTTCCTCCTCCCTCTGCAGCCCGCCCGGTCTGCTGCGCCTCGGTCGGCTGCACATTTCGGCGTTCGGTCAGTTTTAAAAAGAGAGGAGAGAAGAGCAAGTGGCAGAGGAAGAGAAAGACAGAGAGCGAGAGGGGGGGGGGGGGGAGAGAGAGAGAGAGGGAGAGAGAGAGAGAGAGAGAGAGACGGAGAGAACGGGAGGAGAACGACAAATACGCGGAGGGGCAGAGCAATGTAAAGCCGTATGATCGATAAACGACCCCTTTCGTTTTGTTTGTTTTGCAGATTCTACCGTGCCGGTGGCCCTTTGTCTGTTGATTGAGAAAGGATTGTCTGTGGTGAGTGAATTTTTCTTCCAAATATTTTGGTATACATATGTATAAGGTGTGTGCGAGCGGAAAGTGAGCAAATCCAATATCCGGGTAATCGACTGAACGATAGTCGCGCGATACCGTGGCTCGTCCGACAAGAGAGAGGTGTTACGTTGTAATTTATTGCCCTTAATAGCGTCGACGCTTCCGCATTGTATCGATTGGAAATAAAAGAATCCGTCGGGGTCGCATTAGTATACAGCCTCGTAAAATTTCGCGTACGATTAATTTTCCGCGTTCTCTCTTTATGCATTCGGCGAAATATGCAGCGTAATCCTCTGCATATTTTTATTAATGTATGCTGATGGCGTGCTTTATGCTAAACGATGCAGACGCATGTCTTGAAAAGGAAAAAAGTTTGTTGTGAAAAAGAAAAAGAAAAAAACCACCGCGAAAGAAAATTCACTATATCCGGCAGAGAGAATGTGCCTGTTTCTTTTTTCTCCTTGCTCGCAACGTCCATCGTCATAATTCTTTCTGTAATTGGCAATAATGTCCGGTAATGTTTTCGGTCGTTAGTATCTCTCAAAACATGCTATTATTTCTCCACGTACAGCCGCGTATACCTCGCTGTTACTCTATGTAATAAATGAAGTCTCTGGGTGATTGAGGGCGAGAAAGAAAATTCTCACCTTGAAGCGAAGTTACCTCCCCCGTCTGTGTGCTCTTTCGCTTCTTGCAATACTCGCAATGCGCGCGCGCGGGCGTCGAGACATCGAAGAGCAACCGTGCAAAAAATCAAGAGAAAGACAAAGTCAAAGAGAAATAAACACGAGGTACCGCGCGAGAGAGACATATCTCTCGCGCTTTTCAGCTCCGACTCTGGCTGTTTTTTCTTACTCTCTTCCTATGAGGAAAAAGAAAACGCTAAACTAATAATGATATGGTGGAGGGACTTTCTACAACTGCGGGAAAAAGCGGAGAAGCACTATCAGAGCCAACGTTTTGCCGCTTCTCATGATCTCACTCGATCCCTTGTATCGATGAGCTGTCGAGAGTCCACCTCTGTAAAACATCCCAAAACGTTACGTCGTTCGCCCGGCTTATCTTCGCGCGGCGATTGAGAGGACGTGTCCTCTGTGCTTCGCGAAATTATTCTATTTTGCCGTACGATTAAGAGAGGATGAAGTCTCAAAATATAGCTGCGATATAATCCTATTTACTAGTAATCTCTGCATTGATCCGATGTCGAAATAACGCCGATCCGTTCCCGTATCAATCCCCGGGAGAATTTATGAGAACGAAACGGCAGGAAATTAGCGTGTCTGTATCATGTGCGAAATTTTATGTGCGCACATTTTTATTCGCGCGGTGATATACCGTATCGCGCGATACCGGGATACATTCGTACACCCCGAACACCGAATTTATACGTTACAATTAATGAGTAGTTTGCCCGGATATATTTTTCGCTTTAACATGAAATGATAACTCATGCCGTACGGTCATTTATATCGATGTAAAAATTTACATTACGTTATCAAACGGTCTCTCGGTATTACTTCCGGGTGTTTCAAGCGCTACGCGAGCCGGACAAGCTGCCACGGCGCTTCTCAGTCCGCGAAATGTTAATATCTCGCGAAAAAATTCTCCCCGCGCGCGCACCACCGGCCGGCCGTTCGTTAAAAATGGAGCAAAGCCGTATACGCGATTACACATCGTTCGTCGCGACCTAACAAGTAAACTTCGGGGATAATCGTCGGACGCCGATTTGTTTCCAATTTTTTATAGTTATTTTTAACGTAAAAATATCAAGAAATCTGCTGTTATCATTTTTAGCTTAAATTAATTTTTTCGATTTTCTCGAAATTTCTCAAGTTTTTTGTTCATTTCTTGTTCATTTTTTTTTATCAGATTTTGACGTTAAAATGAGCTTGTTTGCTGGATAGTGAGCCGAAAGATTACAAGATCCAACGTCGAATGTAGCGTAAAACTGAACACTTTTTCAACAATGACGTGTCAGCCATGTTAGGCCATATCCGCCATTTTGAATTTTACAAAATGGTTCTGACTCATAATCGGCGACAATCGGTGTGTGCAAGTTTCAACAGATCAGACATATATATATATATATATTTTTAAGAAATATTGTTTTAAATATGTATAAAATAGTGTACTTGTGCTTGAAAACTTGACAAATTTCCAGGAAAATTGAAGGAATTAATTCAAGCTAAAAACGACAACAGATTCTCCTTCATATTTTGACATAAAAAATAAGTATAAAAAAATTGGAAACAAATCGGCGTCCGACCCGTTCCCCGAGGTTTACTTGTAAGCGGCGACCACCACCAGCTCGCGGCGACGATCACTCTCGCGACGGCCACAAACAGCGCGCAACACGGATCATTGGCCGCAACTCGACCAAAGTTCGCGGACAAATCAATTCGATCGCCCTGACGACTCTACGGCCGGCAGATAAGGGCAGCGATATTTTTGCCGCGTCGACGGCGGAAGTCGACGCGTGTGCCGGCCATACATAGTGCTTTATCTGCACCGATAGCGCCGGAGCGGACGGAGCGGGCTGGGTTTTAACGTCGAATCTCTCACGTGCGCTGCTCTCTCCCTTATCGCCGTGTCGTAAAGGTGATCGCCGCTCGGTGAAACGCGCGCGGTCATCGTCGCGCAGCGTGACGTCGCCGAGGCCGGCCATCGCGCGAATTAGCAGCGCTTTAACGGCCACTGCCGCGCGCATCCCCGTGCGCATCCTCCCCCCGCGGAGCGGGCCTTCGTGTCCTTCGTGTCGCGCAGTTACTCGTCATGTAAATACCGCGGCGCACAGCACCCACGGCAGTTCCGCGATCGAACGATCGCCATGGATCGAGAAACACGCGCGCGGTCGAATCCGCCCGTCGTAACTTCCGCGGCGTTCCGCGATCGCGGTTTCCGCTCGAGGAGGGGGGGGGAGGGGGAGGTAGGAGAAAGAAAGAGAGAGAGAGAGAGAGAGAGGAGCGCGCTGTCGTTGTTGCTTTCTTCGTTCAGTTTCGCCGCATCCCCGCAGCACGCGGGGCGACGGGAGCTACGGTCGCGCGGGAGCGAGACGGCGGAATTAGAGATGGGAATAATTTGGACGAGTGCACGGCGCACGCATGTTAATGCATCAGTTTGCACTCGCGTTAATATTCCATACGGGGGCTATATTTGCGCGAGTCCGGGCACACAGGCGACTACTTGATGCGATGTATAATCAACTTCATACGAACTGTGTGATGCTCGGTCAAGCGTCGAACTCGATCAGCCGGCTTCCTTTTCTGAAATGGGAAGCCCCGTCGGCGCAAACGCCGATGTGATATCGGCCCACGTAATAATTACCACCCGCTGATTAATCGCCGACCGCTAATCGACTAATAATTTGGCTAATGACGAGCGTATAATTACAACGTTGTATGGATAATTCGGCCGGCGCGAGGCACGGGTCTCTCTCTCTCTCTCTCTCTCTCTCTCTCTCTCTCTCTCTCTCTCTCTTTCTCTCGCTCGCTCGTATGAATAATATGTAACAAATTAATACTCGCAGGACAGAGACCGCGAGCGCGGGTAACTTATGCTCGCGTTTTCGCGCGTGCATTCCCCGGCCATTTGCGCGATCGCGCGCTTACGTCCGCGATGAAATCGTCGGCTTTTGTTATGCGCCACTGACTCACGCCGTTCGTCTCGTTCAATAATCTCGCGCACGGCTCTGTCCGCGCTGGCGGATGAGAACTTATCAGACGCGTCGGCAAAGTTGCATTTTTTCAACCGCCATGTCAACCGTCAGGCTGATATGCGACACACTTGGTTGGCGAAGATACGCCGGCGATTGCTTTGATGATAAACGTATCCATTTTCGGGATATAATGTCCCGACTTTATTCCGCGCGTTTGCGCTGGCCCGCTTATCTCCGCGGGGAAAGAGATAACGCGCGAGAGAGAGAGAGGGAGAGAGGGGGAGGCGGAGGAAGGGGGAGAGGGAGAGAGAGAAAACAAATATTTCGTACAACCGTGATGGAGGAAATAATTTCTGTTTATCAATTTTCAGCGCGTGCGCGGCGGTCGCCGGGTGAGCGATTTCAACTTTCCGCTTCGGTGGATCGCGAACGTTATTGTTAGAGCGCGATTCAAGCGATCGAGAATCAGAGCAAGAGATTACTCGACGTTTCGTCTCTGCGAGACAACACTTCGACTTCGACGTCTGCTGCCTTCCCTTTAAATCCGCTCTGAACGTTATCGGAGAATTGATGGAATCGCGTTGATCTTGTCCTACTTTTTTCTTTCTTTTTTCTTTTTTTTTTTTTTTTTTTTTTGGGCGAGTTCTCTTTATGCGCAAAGTCGTACGACACGCATTTCATAAATATTTGAGCACGCAATTTGTCGGGCTCCGTACTAAATTCGCGGTATTCTCTTGAACGCCATAATTAGGTCAAGCGCTCTGTAAATATTTGACCGGCCAAAAAATATCGCGTTTCTGCTTCCCAGGAGTTATGTAAATGCTGAGTGACCTATAATCGCGCTCATAAATTTTACGTATAAATGTTTAGCCGCGCTTTCTCAGTTTCACTGTTTTGCGCGCATCCTCACGGATGCTCGAGCCTTCTCTTTTTTTCCGTTACATCCTACGGAAAAAAAAAAAAGAAAAAAAAAAGAAAAAAACAGAAAAAACAGAAAAATAAAAAAGATCGCGCAGCTCATTAATTACTGCAGGTTTCGGCAAGCAACGCTCACCCGACGAAGGAATTTCCTCCTAACGATCTCCCCCGAAGAGATCTCTCTCGCGCATTCCTCACCGGCTGAGTTTCTGGATAGCCGTAAAACTGCATTCTTTATGAAATCCACCGTTCGCCCTTAGCTAATTAATTCCGGTGCGAAAGTTCGCCAAGAGTGCGCGAAAGTGAACGGGGCAGGGCCGTGTTTTTGCAATCGAGGCAGCAATACGTGACGCGCACAAAAGCGAAATATTTTCCGTACGGACGAATGTTCCACCGCGAACATCGGCGTTTGTTTCCGCGCCATAATAACTCGCCGGTGATAAATCACGCTCATGCGATACTTTGTCAAACCGGCCCGACAGCGCGTTTAAATAATTAACCTTTTGTCCCGGACGGGTGTGTAATTTTTTATTGAATCCTATAACAGGCGCGGCCAACTGCGCAATCTCACGAATGAAATACCGCGATTCAATTTTGTGAGCGCTGTGACGACGTGCGTGATTTATACGCTTCTTTGTAACGCACTTTGTCCGGGTAATTAATCTCGTAGTAAGCTCGCGTTTCGAATATTCGCAGCAATTTCACTCGGGCTCCTGATTTATTCTGCCCTTTGCTGAGCTAACGCATTTTTAGACGCGCCGTGCACGTTCTGATTGAACTCGAGAGTAATTTCAAGCGAAAAATACGTCCCTTATATATTCGTGACAATTTGCTAAAAGCTTCACCGTTACAAAAGAAAAAAGAAAAGATGAAGAAAAAAGGGGAAGAAAGAAAGAAAGGAGAAGAATCGAGAATGCATTTATACCGTCATTCACGTGACAGAAGAACAAGCATCCGTCGTTCAGGGCGATCGCCGCGGAATTTCCTAAATTTCGTCCATCAGCCGGCTAAATCGAAATCGCGAAACGCGCAAATTCGAATGATCAACTGCCGTCGCTGTAACGTTTAACTTTTCGTAAATCTCACCGCGGCCGTAGCGGATTGCACGTCGTTTCCGATACATCACGCATACCAACGTGGCAGTGATTTACACGCATCAGAATTCCGTAGGTTTTCAGCCGGGCACGTCGCGAGCGCGCAAACAGAGAAAAACTGCTGTTTGTCCGACGAAATGCGCAATTATAAATATCTCGGCGCGGAACTCATTTAACCGTGATAATTTCCCGCTGTTCCAGCATGTTTCGTGACATTTACATTGTTGCCCGCTGCCCGCTCAATTATTTACCTCGAAACTTAACGAATGAGTAATCTTCCGCGACTGTACACACCAATCGCCTCACACGCGCCATGTTGCTCAACGGCGCAAACAACGATGCCCTTTCGCTTATCGACGATCATAAAACCGCGCCAGCCTCTCTCGTCAGTTTCAGCTCGCCGATCAACGGCCTCCGTCGCCACGAAGAACCGAGCAGGGGAGGAGGAGGAGGAGGAGAACGACAATCTACGACGCCACGTTGAATCTCGATTGCCCCGACAGTAATAAAGGGTGTCCCAAAATTCACGCAACAAGTAATTTTGATAGAAAGCACAGGTTTATAATTAAAAATTGCAAATTTTTTATCGATTCATAAAGTATACAGTATAGAGTTATGTGTGGAATAGCATATCGGGTAAACGGCCGCAGCGAAGAGAGTTCGTTGAATGGATTATGGAACAACAACAAGTGGATGCTGATTTTTCGAGAACAAAATCATCTTCAGCGATGAGGCCTCATTTTCATCTTGATGGCTTGGTTAATGGCGACAAAATTGTCGCATTTGGGGTTCAGGAAATCCACGAGTGATTGTTGAGAAACAAATGCATCCACAACGTGTCACTGTTTGGTGCGGATTTTGGGCTGGAGGCATCATCGGACCATTCTTCTTCGAAAATGCGGCTGGTCAGGCAATAACAGTTAATGGTGCTCGCTATCGCGACATGATAATCCAGTTTTTTGTGCCTAAATTGCAAGATATGGATGTGGACGACATGTGGTTTCAACAACGACGATGCCACATGCCATACAATGCCCGAGAAACAATTCAATTACTGCATGAGTCATTTCCTGGTCGTGTAATTTCCCGTTTTGGTGATCAGATCAGGCCCCGCCCAGATCATGCGATTTAGCGCCGTTGAACTTTTTTCTTTGGGGTTTTTTTCAAGTCTAAGGTTTATGCCAACAAGCCCACGACCACCCACGCCTTGAAGGAGGAAATTCAGCGCTGTATCAACGAAATTCAGCCACATTTATGCAAAACGGTCATGGAAAATTTCAACAAAAGAGAGTCCGTATGTGCCAGCAAAGCCGTGGAGGCCATTTACCCGATATGCTATTCCATACATAACCCTATACTGTACACTTTATGAATCAATAAAAAATTTACAATCTTTAATTATAAACCTGTGTTCTCTATCAAAATTACTTCTGGCGTGAATTTTGGGACACCCTTTACCCGTGATTTGCGCTAATCGGATTCGTTTCGGAGATATGCTCTCGCACATCTCCGAAACGACCAGCAGGAGAAGGAAAAAGCAACGTCCGTCGTCTCGGCTCCCCCGCGCCCGCGCTCGCGCGCGGCCGTTAGCGTGCCGCGCGCTGTACGCCAGCCAGCCACTTCCGCTCGTAAGCTGTATCTCTTTATTTTGTGCCGCAGGATATCATAGCTCACGGGCCAGGAATGGTGTTCCACGTCGTAAACCTCGTAGTGATGGTACTGATGCCGATGGTGGTCATCCACGTGAAGGATTCCGGATTCAGCCTGTGTAAGAGCCATTTTACGTATCGTTTCACTCGCGCGAATTTCGCGCGGTCGCATCCGCACACGATATTACTTACGTGCCGGCATGGCGGCCGACCGGTCGGTCGGTCGGTCGGTCGGCCGCGCGGGGATCGATCGGGATAACGTACGGATGTACGTAAGTAACGTTCTCGAGTTACCTGGGAGTTCGCGCGATCGGAATAATACCGCGGTGGTGGTGGTGGCGGCGGCGGCGGCGGCGAGCGAGCCCGGCGAGTTTATGCAGTCACTCAGCGCGACTCGAAGCCCGTTTGGGCATTCGCCAGGGCCGCTTATCGCGCAAATCCATTCTTTTCCGTGACATATAATTAATCCCTAAGCGACCGGCGCATGCGATGTTTCCTCGCCGCGTCCGCGCCCCTCTTCGGTACCTCTACGTGTACCATCTGTACGTGTCCGCGGGCGCATGTAAAACCATCATTCACGAAAATGCGTTCACCTGGCCGAAGCTCCGAGCTTACCTCACCCCCTCCCCCTCACCCCCTCCCGAACGACGGGGGCTGTGGATTGCTCCGTCGTGCGCCACTTTTTTTTCTGTCCTCGCTATTCTTTTTTTTTCTTTCTCCCGCTCGCAATTTGCTGAAACACTTGACGGAACGAGCGCCATTATTTGCAGCGGATTATACATTTTCCATTATGCGAGAAACGAGTGCTCGCGCGCGCGCGCGCGTACGCGCAAGTATCGCCGAGTTATAAAATAACTGATTTTTAATTGCTCGCCATTTCCGTTCTTCGTGGCGCGGCCATGTCGGACACGTTTCGCGGCGCGGAGAGAGAGAGAGAGAGAGAGAGAGAGAGAAAGAGAGAGAGAGAGAGAGAGAGAGACCGTGCGCTATCGTATCAAAAATTCTATTTAAATGCAATACCTATGGTCATCCGTGCAAATCGATGCACCGGCGGCAGCGACGGCGGCGGCGGCGACGATCGCGGGGCTCACGTTCACATGCAAATGCAATTACTTCGCGCTCTCTTTCATCCGTAACTTCATGGGTGCCCGAGAGCCCATCCGTCCGTTCGGGCGTTAGTCCGGGCGTTCACGTCAAGACGGCCCGCTGCGACTTTTAAACGCGAGTTTTCGCAACGCGACACAACGCCACGCGCCAGACTCTCGCCAGACGTATGCTCGCGTTATCAATTCAATCAGATCTAATCGCGAGGTGTACCTTGCGCTCCCTCCTGCTCCTGCTGTTTCTTTTTCTCGCTCCTCATGCCGCGCCGCGTCATAATACCCTGCCCTAACGAAGAAAAGTAATTACACCGCGTAACTGCGCCCGCGAGCGACAAAGCGGCGCTTGTCTAATTAAAAGAATTTAAATTAATTCCCGGAGCAAACGCACCCCCTCCCCTCCCCCTATCCCGCTCCTGTCCTTCTCTCTCTTTTCTCTCTCTCTCTCTCTCTCTCTCTCTCTCCCTCTTTCTCCTCTTCCCTTTTCCGCGGACGTATGCGGACACCGATCGATTCGATAGGAGTGTATTGTCGCGCGGCGGTGCGCGCGCCCGGCGATCTAATTTAGTTTTTCAATCCGAATGATGAATTATCGCAAAGAAAAGTCGGAACTTTATGGAAAATCGCCCGGACTTTAATTAAAGGATCTTTAATCGCACTCGGCGGCAGGCGCCGGGCGTAATACACCGGTGTTCTCCTGCTAATTCCGCTCGGTACTGCATTTTTAATGTTCTTTGTCATTTACATACTCCGCGGAACTCCGCGAAACGAGTAAATACACGCGAAAGTTCTCTCTCGCCGATTCCCGCCGGAAAGAGGAAGAGAGAGAGAGAGGAGAGAGAGAGAGAGAGAGAGAGAGAGAGAGAGAGAGAGAGAGAGAGAGAGAGAGAGAGAGAGAGAGAGAGAGCTGGAATCGAGAGTGCGCTCCTTTTGGCGTTCGCAAGAACACTCCGAGTGAATCCAGCATCGCGAACTTTGTACTGTTATCGGGGAACGCACCCACTCGTCGTTTGTCTTCTTTTACGGCGTTCCGTTTCGGCGCAAGCTGGTGGAGCTTTTGATTCCGTCGCGATATTCGACCGGCAGTCGTCTCCGATACAGTCGACGTCAGGCAGCACGAGAGACAGGACTCGATTGTAGCATGGATAAAAGCGCAAGAGCGCGAGCTTGCGAAGAACTCGAATCGTTAGAACTCGAAACATCGACAAAGGAAGATCTTTTAGTTTCACGGCAGATACAGCGGTCTCCTTGTATTTAGCTCTGTGTGTGTGTGTGTGTGTGCGCGCGCGCTTGCGACGAAGTTAAACCAGACGCTTTTTAACCTCGCCTCGATAGATTGCCTGCAGCGAGTGTTGAAAAAACGTGGTACAAAGTACAAGGAAGAATCGGCTGAAACTGAAGACGCGCAGCTTCGCGTGTTTTCCGATAACGCGGGTCGGGATAAGGAGAAGCAGAAGGCGGAGAAGGGAATGCGTGAGAGAGATCGATCGATGGATCGATCGTCTTGTTTTTCATTTCGGCGGCTACCGGCGATGCAGGTGTCAAGAGGGAATGCGTTAACGGGCGCTATTAACGTGCGAGCTTTCGCGCGGCGCGGCGCGGTCGCGTTACGATATATTAAATCGCGAGTAATTTGTAGTTCTCGCGATCGCGAGAAAGTTCTCTTCTTAGCTCTCTCTCTCTCTCTCTCTCTCTCTCTCTCTCGCGCTGCCGCCTGCTTCGCACCTTCCGGAGAACCCCCAGATTGAACAGTAACGGATGACAATGAAACTTCAAAGTTGGATCGAAGCTTTTGAACTTTGACAGGAGAACATATGACCTCCTATCATCGGGGATGCAGTGTAGTCGAAGGTGAAGGATCGTCATGCCTCAAACTCCGTGAGATTTACTCCGTCGCTACGAAATTGCAAGTGCTACTGTTCTTGCGGGTGTTTGAAACATTCGAGAACTCGTTAGCCCGAATAAAAGTAATTAAACGAGTTATTGGAATTCCCCGAGCGACCGTAACCGCGATGGTTCCGCGCGGCGTGCCAGCGCTACCGGAAGATTGAGAACGAGAGAGAATAATTTCGGTGGATCGAAAGAATAAATAAGCAGCAATCTGTTCAACATATACACACACACACACACACACACACACACACACATGCGCGCGCGACACATAATTACAAGAATATTCTTCTGCAAAGAGGGGCGGCCGTGCGCCGCCGAGGTGGACGGAGAGAATTAATTTCATCTCATCTCGACATGTCAACACAGAGAGAAGGCGAGGGAAAAAATTTAATTATGTCACGCAGCAGCAAATAACTTCAAGCGGCATTAATTATAATCGCGTACGCGCGACGACAGCAAATGTATAAGAAATATAACGCCTCCGGGGCGCGCTTAATGCCTCCCTGAGTCGGCGACTCGCCGACGGAGGAAGGAAGCCTCTGGAGCTGGGGAGCCTCTCTCTCTCTCTCTCTCTCTCTCTCTCCCTCTCTCCCTCTCTCCCGATCCCGAGGCGAAAATCTCGAAATCTTTGACGCTAGTCCGAGAAATCCTTAAGAACCTTATTCCCCTTTTATTTTCCTCCGTAAATTGTCCGGCGGGCATCCTGGGAGAACCGTTGCCGGTGCGAACGCGTCTTTACGCCCCGGCTCGCGTAAAGGCGTCAAAACCCCGGTGTCTACGTGAGTGAATACACTTTTGAGTGCACACTCTCGTACCCGTCGACTCGCATGCTGAAGGGTCGAGCATCCCGGGTGAAAGAGTGACGAGGAGTAGTACTACTACGTCGCTGCGGAGAGAGGAAAGACTTTCCGTGAAAGAGAGAGAGAGAGAGAGAGCCCGGGTCGTCCGGGCACTTGAACCAAAGCCACCGCTCTGCACTCGCTCGCTCGCGAGGCGCGCGCGCGCGCGCGCGCGCTGGTCTCTACGACTACGGAAGTTTTAAGAAGCGCTTAGGCGGCCCAAACTCGTGCGAATCTTTGCCTTTCGCGCCGCTGCGGCTTCCGCAGCTTCCTCCCTACCACTCTCACGTCGCCGATATATAAAAGGATCTAGTCGCGCTCGCGCTAGCTTCCCCCTCGCGCCTCGCCGACGTATACATTGTTCTCTCGCGGCGCGACGGAGAATATCTCTTGATTGATCGTACACTGCGATCTTCTTATCTCGCCCGGTCCTGGCCGGTTTCTCTCCGTTTTCACGCGCGACGTGCGGATATTCCTCGACGCCCCCCGTGAATAACGACATAGACAGACGGACAGACAGACAGACAGACAGACATATATACGCCCGTCGGCCGCGCGCGGTCGCCGCGCGGCTAATCATTTCGTTGCAGTCGGCGAATTAATTATACGGCCGCCGACGTTTAACGAGCGGCCGATAATTAGAAACGGCGTTTCAGCCTTCCGCCGATACGGCCGCTAAACGGCTCGTTAAAACTCCCTGATTTTGCCCGTCCGTTATTTCGGCGCGTTACGTCGCGTTTCGCTTACGGCCCGATATAATCGCCCTTGCCACACTCGCACACACTCGCTGCGCTAGCGCGTCCTTCCCCTCCTTTTTTTCCCTCGCTGTGCGTGCGTGCGTGCGTGCGTGCGTGCGTGCGTGCGTGTGTGCGTGTTTTTTTTTTTTTTTTCAAGCTCGCGCGTCCGACGATTTAATTCTCCCGCTCGGGCTCCTCGTCCGGCCGAATGACGGGGTTAAAACACGCGAAATACTCACGAAAAACAGCGCGAGAACGAGGGGGTGCGCGGCGCGACACGTAGCGCGCAGCGCCGTCGACTGCCGTAATTACGAGCGCGATGCGAAAGCATCGCCGGCCATCGGACGTCGAATTCCGCTCATTCGGAAGCGTTCCTACACCGTTCGACGAGCGTGTCACGAGCTTTTTTTTCTGTTGATACTGCGAAACGTGACACCCGATAGAAACGTGACATGGGCGATCTACGGCCTCTCGATCGCGTCTCTTTCTCTTTGTCTCTCTCCCTCCCTCCCTCTCTCTCTCTCTCCCTATCTCTCTCTCTCTCTCTCTC